ACTCAACCACCTCAGGCAACAGGTCAATGGCTTTTCTCACAAATGAGTTAAAGTTGATTAGAAGGCCTGACACCCTTTGAGTTCTACAAGCAGAAGGTTTCAGTGAAAATTGGATTAGAAAGGAAGTGAAAACACAAAGGGGGAGTACAATTTGAATTACAAAACTCAAATGATTAAAAATTTTTGTTCACTCAACTAACTTGTGAGGAAAGTTATTGACCTGTTGACTAAGGCGAATGAGTTGAGCGACAAACACATACTTTGTCAACAAAGACATGTTGTGTCGATCAATTCAACCACCTGAGCCAACAGGTGAATAACATTGCTCACAAGTGAGTTGAATGGTCAAAAGTCCAGGCACATTTTCCATTCTACAAGACAAAATTTTTGTTGAAAATGGAATATCACCTTGGCAATCATCAAACTCCAATCAAGCACTTGTTTCTTTCATGAACCCTTCAGCATCTTACCTATTAGCGGAACTGCAGTCTGTTTCAGACGTGTCGAAAAACCAAAACAAGTTCTTATCAGAATCATTGAAGATCATCTGACAAGACCTGGATTTGTTTTTTTGACGCGCCAAAACAGACTGCATTTCCGGTAATAAATATTACACAGGAAGGTCCATGGATGGATCAAGTCCTTGATCAGTGTTTGATGAGCAGAAGGTGACAAAAGATAAGTAGAACCCATGGATGGTGCCATATGTGGAGTTTGGAGATGCACACGGCAAAGTGATAATGAAAGAGGAAACTGAGGAATAGGGGACTGTGGGGTCAAATCAGACATGGTATATAAGGCAAACAGTTGCAGCGGCCAACTTGTGGTATGTGCACATATGCTTATGGTGGTCACATGAGTCACAAACCCTAACCGCTAGCCATACATTCTTCTCAAATTCATTATACTTGGTTGAAGGCCCAACATGTACTTCGTTAGATCTATAATTACGGTACTCAAAGCAAGTATGTAAAAGTACATACTTTTTGCTGGATACTTATTTTGGCGGGAAAAAACAAGACCAAAAGTATAATTGCAACATGAGGAAACAACAAGTGGTGTGTGTGCATATCACAAGCCAGAGGCATGACTTGTTGCAAGCATGCCCTCAGTATAGGGTTATAACATATAGATTGTGACCACTAGTCAACACGGAGAAACAATTCAGAGACCACTCAAGAGATACATTTTAGAATATTTTTGGTTGATGATAGGTTTGAATGAACTAATAAATCTCTCAACAGTTTTCCAGCACAAGGTGATTTTTTTCTTAACATCAATTGTGGAATACAAAGTTTGGAATAATTATAAAGTCAATTGGGCAGTAGTGGGGCAATTGCAGTCAAAGCATCATCAAGCTTTGTAGAGCTGGGTGAAATCCCCAGAGCCAGTTTTTCAAGGGGGTTAAAGCGCGTCAAGAAAGCACTGTCATAACAATTTTCCGGGAGGTTAGCACATACAGTTCCCATGGGGTTGACTGTATGACCTTCTTGACGCCTAGTATCTAGTCTGCGGGCCGGATGAAACCTTTGCTTGACAGTGGATTGAGCTTGATAGGATAGCCGGTCAACTGCATGTAGCCAGTTGCCATACCTGACGCTGCGCCATTCTGGACAAATTGACCGCTGGATAGGTCGGTTGGGGTCATCCTCTGTATCAGAACAGCAGTCTGGACTGGGTAGGAGGTCGAGGTATTGCGGAAGATGATCCTGAAGAGTTGCTTTACGATTATTCCAGAGCTGTGTACACATATTATCAACACACTGGAGAATGCCCAAACACATAATCATGACTTACTTCTCTTCGCTTTTTGCTCCTGGCTCTTTGTTCAACCTTTTGTGGATCTTGGAATCCCCTTTTGACGTCTTCAATCCGTCCAATCACCCAGCGTGTCATGATCCCAACCTGGACAAGGTCTGTAGGGTTTTCCTGATCCAGTCCATAATTCTCAAAAGCAGAAGCAGCTTTGGCAAACTTCCAATGCTTGACAGTAAAAAATATCATTGCTTGATTCCATCTACTGTTTTCACCATTATCCGTGTCCCATTCAAAGGTGAAAGTATTATCTAATCTATGATTGGCCAGGTCTTTGAGGAGAAGAGCCTTGAACAGCGACCAATCAGTTGTATTGGAATGGGCTGATGCTTGGTAGGATGTGAAAACTGAGGTATCTTGTAAGATTGATTGCATAGTCAGAGGTGGAAGATTCATGATTTGACTGTCGCTTGGTGAATCAGGATAAACCCGGTGGGTTGTGGTGTAGCCAAGCATGAAACGCGTGAAGTCAGAATATGATTTACATATTGGCTCATTATGATCTGGGATGTGGGCGCTCAGAGCCTTGTTCTTTGCTTTGCGACTCTTGGGTGGTCTTCCGTTGGCCCAACCACTTGAGCGTTTTTGAGAGGAAGAAGCTGAGAAGGTAGAGTGGAGTAATGAGTTTGCAGCTTTAATCAAACCAGAGGCACAGAACACTTCCTACCCATTTGTTGATACTCAAGATTATGATTTTGGCTTGTGGCAGATAACTCTCCGGGTTTGATTTTGTGGGGAATGTTCTGAATGCTGGAGTGATGAAACAGGAGAGAGTGATAGTTAAGCTGATGAAGGAAGCCAGGAATTAGGAGTGCAACCTGGGGCACTTTTTATACTGCTACCCTACTTTCCTGTGTCTTCCACCAGCCTCTGCAGCTGTTCAGTACATGTCAAGGCAGTGATATATAACAATGTATTCTTCTTGCCCCAGGCCTTTTGGGCAGGAAACTGTTAAGATGAGATTGCAATATGACGAAGACAGGTGGTTAATTTGGGGAAAAACATGGAGCATGAAATAATAATCATTCAAAATCTATTCTTTCTTCAACCACAAGTATGATATGAAAATGAAACTCTCGTCCAACTTATGATAACATTTTCTTCAACTGAAATACAAAGCAAGACATGAAACTTCTTGATAATTTTTTCCTGAAACACAAGAAAACAAAGAACGATTTTTTTGAGTATGTACCTTGTAATATAAGTTTGGTAAAGTGAGTATTGAATAATCAAGAAAAAGATACATGAAAGAGAAATATAATTTGATGAGCAGAACAATTTCTTTGATTAACCTGGTGATATGACTTGTGGAAAGTAAGCTTTGAATACCCAAAAAAAGAAAGGCAGAGAAATATAATTTGATGAAAAAATTGATAGCTCTATAAAGTGAAGTATCCATGGACCATCCTTAAGTTAAAACTGCCATCCTGCTCTTGTTTCCAAGCTTTTTCATCAGATGCTCATTGAGAGTATTGAGCTCAATGTGATCTTCAGACAACTCCAGGGCTTCAACTTCCAGCTCCCCAAGCTCATGCAAATATTCTTCCCTGATCAAACACTTTGGGAATCCCTTGGGTGGAAGTTGGGCTTCTGGGTCGACTGTAGCAGTAGAGTATTCCTTCCTGGCTGCCTGAGCCCGAGTGACATTGGTTTTCTGGGCCTGGGTTAAGTCTTTCTTCTTTTTGGCCATTTTGTCAGCAAGAAAAATCAATTTGTCCAGCTCTGCAGTTCTCCAGGCCAGCTTGATCCGTCTTCGATGTGCGGGCTTCTCTTTAGTGGCGGGGACGGACTCAGTCTCTGAATGCACTTTGTCCATTACTAGGAGGAGTTTGTGGGTCGCCGTGAAGTCCGTGATGTGTTTCGCAAGGGCTTCTGTACGGGTTTCAGCAAGCTGAGGTTTTGATATGTCAGTTATGAGTGGAGCTAGGATTGGAGAGAAAATAGAGTGAAGAATCACTTGTTTCCTTAAGGCCTTCATGGCTCTCCTTTCCTTCGTTTCTACTACCTTTTTCACGTATTTTCGAGCTCCTTCAGGAGTTGCTAGAAGAGTTTTGTCTTTTTCCTCCTGATTATATCTAGCACGTTTGTGAGTAAGCCACTTGGTGAGGATTTCTTTTGCAAGCTTTGGTGTTTCGTCGGATTCTGGTATATCATAGCAAGAAGGGACACCTTTGGAATAATAACACTCCAGCCAAGAGTTCAACAGAGTGTTGAGCATGGCAGAGTTCCAAGGAGTGTTAATCGCATTGGTCCATTGAAGTGTACACCTTGGGAAGCCAGCAGAAGCCAAAGAAGCTTCAGCTATAGCTAGTCTAGTTCTTTCATAACTCTGAATAGAAGCAGTGGTTTGAGCAACCCTAGAGATAAATTTTCCAGGAGGGGTCTTTTTGCCCCATTGTGCAACTACCTCCTTGGTGATTGCTTTCTTGAGCTCCGCTTTGTAGGTGAGAGATGCTTTAGGATTGGTGGTAAGCTTCTGAGCCATCTTTTGATTGATCTCAAACTCTATAAAGTCTGAGCGACTCTTGTTGTGATTACTCCACGCTTCCACTTCAGTAACCTCGGCGGTTTTTGGGAGGTGATGTTGGGTGACTTTACTAACATCAATCTGAGAGGAGTTGGGTGAGGTTGACTGGCGAGGAAGTCCCAGTAGGGCTCTAGCCCACTCGTGGATGGCTGAGGTGAGCCCTGAAGGAATATTATCGTTGGGCGCCTTTCTCAAGCGTGCTTCTTCATTCTTTTGCTTGGTTTCAACAGCCTTTTTCTTCCCATCCTTCATCTTCTGATGCTTTGCTGCAGCTTTTTGTTGAAAGGTCAAGCCTTGATCCTCCGCTTCATTTTCTGAAATGGGCCGAAGATACAATGAATATTATTAAATCTTAATCCTTTGATCAGATATATATGTAGGATGCTGAAAGACTGACCATTTAGGCAGTCCATCATTGGATCTCTGAATAAAGGTCCTTCTGGAACCGGTTCTGGAGAGTAGTAGAAGATGTCATCATCATGTAACAGATGAAATCCCCCAGGAAATGAAGTTGATCAGGCAGAAGGAATAGGGGAGGGGACAATGATTTGTGGGATGGTTCAGGAAAGGCGGAAGAAGAAAAGATGCTCAGGGTATTCCAAGAGCAGGGAAAAGGTGCAAAAGTAAAAGGAAAAAATCCAGAGAGAAGGTGATTGATACAGAAGGTCAAGGTGATCCACATGTCAAATTAAGCAGGGCAGAATGAAAAAGAAAACACGTCAGGTAGTGATGGTTTGAGTGGGAAATGAAGTTTGTGCAGGTGAATGATTTATGGCATGGGTTGAAGCAGATGCCAAAGAAGGAGAAAATATATGCAGGATGTTGTAAAAGCACCAAACAGGTACGGGAAATAAATTGAGGTGAATTAAGACCAAAAAAGGATAGCCAAAGTTTTCAAAATATGAAGAGATACAATTCAAGTCAGCTGTTGTCAATGACAAGGTGTATGAGAAGAATTGAATAGCTGACCTTGTCCTGGGCTGCTCATGATTGAATGAAGTAATTCTATGAGATGTGACTGGGTCGTGGGGCTCCTTGGGGGGGCAGATGACGGGAAGAGGATGATAGTTTCTGGATGACTCAGCCAGGGTGAGACAGTTTATATAGGAGCATTTAAAATAACTCCCCTTTCTTCAGAATGGACACAAAGGGAAGTCATAAGTGAAGGGGGGCAGGTATACCACCACATGTACCAGATCAGGAGTGGGATCCCAACAGGGAAGGTCAGCCCAGGCTGCTCAAAATCATGTTGAAGGAAACTGATAGAGCATGACACATTACATACACTTTGGGGTTATCATTCTATGAACCATGTTGGCTTATGGTCCCCAGTGTACATGTGGTTTACAGTACACAGAGCACGTGTACATGTGTGTTCCAGTACATGGAGTACATGTACTTGTGATTTGCTAAACACAGAGTACGGGTACTTGTGGTTCACAGATATCCATAGTATCGGGGTACCGCGCAAAAGTGGTCGTGCAGCAG